GAAGCTGGGGTGCTCAGGGATACGGGGGGCCCAGGGGCGGCACGGCCCAGGCAGGACGGGAGAGGCCGGGCTGGCGTGGTGACCTCGGCAAAGGCTGCTGAGCTGCAGGAGCCCAGCCTGCTCGCTGCAGAGACTAAACAAGCCGTGAGTTTAGACCATGCTGAGACCGTGCTGAAGACAAAGATGCCAACTCACTAAGCCGAGTCCTGCTAAGACAGAAGGGCGGCTCTGCTGCGGGCTGGGGTAAGACAGACAGACAGGCAGCGGCAGAGGCAGAGGGAGATTGTTCCCGAAGTGCAAAGGGAGAAACCACACTGTCTGGACAAACTGTCCGCGGCCAGCTTGAAGCAAGGCCAAGGGGTTACCCCAACTCCCGCTGCTGCGGCCTCTGCCCGGCACCCCTTTATGGAGCGCGCTGCGCGGTACCTGATCCTCCTGGTGCCGCGGTCATAGCGCGAGACCATCACGGTGCAGGCGCCGCAGCCGCCGCCTCCGCAGCCGTACTTGGTCCCGGTGAGTCGCACTGGAGGCCACCGTTAAGGACAGCGAGCGTGTGCATGCGTGTCCACCCATCTCCGGCACAGCCCCGACCGGGACTCTCGGTCCCACCCAGCGCGTGTTCACCAGAGGATGTGCGCCCGGCCGCTGCTGTGGCCATTCAAACTCTTGACTCCCTTCTGTGTGCGGAGGCTCCGTCCTCTGGGTGAAAGGAACTGTGCCTCAGGCTGGGAAAATGGGGAAGAACCCCAGAGGAAGGGCTGTGCCTCTGGGCTGGAGGGTCAGAAGACACTGCATTGGAGACTCTCCCCCGCATCTGCTCTCAGAGTCAGAGAAAGAAGTGAAAGAGAGCCTGACACCACTAGTTGCACCCCATGTCTGCTATCTTCTATTCCTTAGCGACGACCCCCCCAGATTTCAGTTGCAGCCCCACACAGGGCTGCCCAGGATGACAAAGCCCACCTCAGGAGGTGCACGTAACTGTCAGTGTCCTGCGGGCTTCCAGAAGGTAGGAAGGTGCCCCCTCTCTACCAGGGCCTCTTCCCTATATGGTGGGATTTGGGGACAAGGGCAGGACCTCGAGCAGAGGCGGAGCTGGAGGGGCAGAGGCCAGGACTCCAGCCTTGCCTCCTAGACCTGCCCCGTGTTGCCTTCACCTGGATCTGCTGACCCGGAGTCCTCATGGGAGCAAGAGGCAGGGACAGGCAGGGAGAGAGGACTCCCTCACCAGGGGAGCCACGGCCCAGGGCCCGCTGGCTGTCAACCCCATCCCCTTTCCATGGGACCCTGCCCCTCCGTGACTCGGAGCTGTGGGGAGACTGGATGGGGGTCCCCGCCAGGCACCCCTGGGGCAGCGCTGGGTCCAGAGCCTCTGTCCTCCCACTGGGATTCCTCCCCAAACCCTTGCAGTCATGCTGTTTCCGGTGTCTGTTCCTCAAGGGCCCCGGCCAGCACCAGGAGCCAAAGCCCAGCACCTCGGTTGCTTTGCCTATTACCCGGCTGCTGCTTGTGCCTCTGTTCAGGACCTCGAGCGACCTCCGGGTGCACACTCATGTGTCTCAAAGTGGTCACTGACGCTTTGGAGCTGGGTATGTTTGTGGGATTTCACCTCCCGGGGAGAGATGCAGACTTCGCTGCCAGGGCGCTGGGCACAAGTGGGAGCTGCCCGCTGAGCTCTGTGCTCCGCCGAGTTCCCACAAAGCAGGCAGGGGGATTTCTCCAGGCAGCATGTTCAGGTCTCATTTCTCAGTGTCAGGAGATTTCTGTGCTCTCTCGCTCTAACACGCATGACGATTTGCCATTGAAAACAGAGGGTAAGGGCTGTGACTCAGTTCCAGAGATGCTTAACCCCAAGACTCGTCGCCTCACTGTCTGGCTTCAGCATCTACCCCAAGCACTAGTACGCCTCGCTGAGCAGACCTGTGCGCTGTGCACAAGAGCCGGGCCCAGGCCTTCCTCAGAGAGCCACGGGGCCACGACAGCGGGGCGCAAGGCCACAGTGTGGCTCTGAGGACATCTGCGCGCTCATCTGAGGAGGACCCAAGCCCCCGCCACACGCCTGTGAGAGAGAGGGGCCAAGGAAAGGATATGATTCCTCCTCAGGAATGGCAGCAGCATCATTTCAGGATCGACATTTTTCTCCGTCACCTATGTGGAGAGAAAATAAAGTGCCCTGCGCAAGAAGAGGAGAGCAGCGAGACGTCCGCACCGGGGGACCCGGCGGCATCGTTAACCTTCACGCAGCCTCTGGCCGGCCCTGCTGCCCCGGGTGGGAGGACGCCTCCTCCCGAGGCTGACTGGGCCGGGTGCCCAGGCTGGGGCTGGAAGAGCAGGCCAGGGCCCCAGTGTGC